CTTCTTTTGCTTTTGGCATTTTTCCTTTTATGCTGAAATTTTTTTCTTATCTTGTAGTCTACTAAAAATGTAGAGAGAAAATAATTTAATTTATTTCTCGGAACTGAAATCGGACTTAAATTCCGACTACAATCGAAAACCGAAAAAAAAAACAAAAATTCTAAAAATTTCATATTTCTCTCTAATAATTTAAATAGACTAAAATGTCTAAATAAATTTTCTCTCTTCTTTGAACATTTATAACTTAAATGTTCACAGATACTTAACCGTACTCGAGACCTAACTTGTCTCGACTCATTATTCTTTTTCTTTCTCATTCAAACTAGAAATGACCAAGTTTACATCCATTTAGTTAAATGGAATGTTACTTGAACTTGAACTTCATCTTAAATAACTTATTTCACTTCAATAGACATTAATGTCTAATTAACCCTTATAACTTGATCAATACTCAAAACTAAGCTAGGCTCGAGAATCATTAGCTCGGGTAATAATCGACTCGTAACCGAACGTGCTTGGTTTGGTTCACGAGTTATCTTGAACGATTAATCAAAATATACTTAATTTTCATTATTTGTCATCTTATTATAATTAATCTCATCATATAAATCCATTTATAAAAATAAACAGACCGAAATTAATTAATTACTGAACTGGCTCGATTACTGAATAGAATTTAACCGAGAATACTTTCGACTTAAAGTCGAACATTGAACTAAATAAATTAATAACTAGGCTCGGAACTAGGAACGAGCATTCTTAATAAAAGTAATTAGTTCAAAGTCAGAACTAAAATAATACTTTTATTAATTACTAAATGGGATATTACAATCTTCCCCCCTTAAAACTATTTCCGTCCTCGAAAATACTGAAACTGGGATACATACGAACTGAGTACATATCAGAACTCAAAATCTGGAAAATAAGCTCTAATATCAGCTTCTCAATTCCAATTGGCATTTAACTTTCTGTGGCGATTCCATCTGATACTAACGAGGAAATTATCTCGATTTCTGAGCCGATGAACCTTTCAGTCCAAAACTTCTACCGACTATTCCTCGTAAGTTAAATCTTGTTGACACTGAAGCTCATTGTGCTGAAGAACATACTCTGTATTGCTCACATACTCACGTAACATTGATACTTGAAACACATTATGCATACTGGACACATCTATTGTCCAAAAGCAAGCTTTTAAACTTTCTGATCATCTTTCTCTACTGTCTAACCATCAGTATCATTGATGGAAATGCCAATCACTTTTGGCTCGACCTGCTATGACTCGGGACCTGACAACACGGCACGTTGCATGCGATTTACCCACTACCCGGGGCCCATTGCGACCTGCATGCCGTATACCTGCGGCGTCAATGTTACATGCAGTCATTAACACGGTCGCATCCAAATTTTATGCTATTATGTTTCCTGTACTAAACTTGTTTCTATTTTCCAATCATTCAACTTCAAAATTTTTTTTTTCTCATTATATTGGTCAAACGAAGGACAATCTTCTAAAACACCTCAATAAATCTGCGATAATATCCTTCTAAACTGAGAAATTACGAATCTCTATCTGATTATTGGGCTTCTAAACTGCTGCCCTCTGTACTTCTCTTTCTTCAAATTCTCCCAACATAAGTATAGTCGAGAAATCTTGAAGAACTTATCTGTAATTACTGTGTTAATGTGGTCAACTTACCAAGTTGCTTGATCATACCACAATTTCACCGCTCAAGGTAAACTTGTTTTACTGACAATAATAATGTTTATAGGTTATTGCAATAATACATATGCAGACATTATTGTCGACATATCACATCTTCTTTCTGCTGCCTTAATTGCCTTCTGGTTGCGTATTCTGACATTTGATATAATTTAATGCTAAAATTTATTATGACCAAAAACTTATCTCATACGCATCTTTCTTTTATAAACTGACTTGGTAATCCTTCTATCTTCTTCAGAAATGGTTTGAATTCTCCAATTGATTTAGTATTGCTAAAAATTTGAAATTTCTATTCTTTTCTCCTCTTTAATATCATAAAGAGAATTTATCGAGCTCGTGTCAAAAGGCTGAGAGTACTAATGCTCAATAATATTCCCAATTATATTCGTTGGCTGATTGAAGCAAAAGTTCGTCTATCTGGGAGTAGCCCAATGCATATAAATATCTGACAGATATGGGTAGAAGCACTTTTTCCAAGAAATGTATAGCAAAAAGAATAGGCGGCTGCTATAAATGCACTCGTTATAACTGTGACACTCGTTGTACTTCTTTAGGCTTTGTCTCAAATAACCGGGAAGATAAGATAACTTTTATAAAGAATGGCTTGAGTAAGGAATCCTGGATCTAACCATTCAGCAGATTCTCGAGACACATTCTAGTGCATATGTGCATCGAGAACTGATGTCTTTATGGCTTTTGTTCAAACATGAAAAGAAACTTTATAGTCTAGAAAATATTATATCCAGAAATCATGTTTGTCAACATTGTTCTTGATAGTACCAATGTACTGTACATAAATCTTATCGCTGCTGACAGATAAGATTTATTTAAAACTCAACTGCTATCTTATCGATACTTTTCTTCTTTAAAAAGCGAGTTTCTATTCATAGCCAAGTGTATCGCATAACAAATGGCTACTTCTGAGTCTTCTCAAGGTAGAGAACTTCTTTAACCCATCAGAACTGTGTGTGTTCTTGGTGGTTCTAGATTTGTAAATGTAACGCCCTACTTTTATTTGCCGAAATTTAGAATAAATTTTTCAAAATTTATTTCAAACCACTTGAGGCGCTACTCAATTTCCAAAAACAATTCCAACAATATCACATATGCAATTCCCAACGAGTTCAATATTCATAAATAATCAACGTCCAAACCGGGTTCAATAACCATAAATAGTCAATACCCAAACCGGGTTCATTAATCATAAATAGCCAATACCCAAACTGGGTTCATAAATTACATCAACTCCAAAAACTGGGTTCATCAAATCCATAAATATTAGGGAGTACACTCCCTACCGATAATCCAGTACTCGACATAAGTCAGGAATGCATAAATCATAGTAAACAATTTAAGCAGCGGAAATAATCAATAACATGACCACCACTCGCGTCCCTCTGTCGTGCCCGCAATTATTAACCTGCATCAATGAAGAGCAGGTGGGGATGAGCACAATAGGAAAAACGAGGTGCTCACCACTATGCAATAATTAATATCCAACTTCATAAAATAAAGCAGGTATGGTCGCAGTATAAATATAAATAAATTAATACCCCATCTCCTTCCCAGAGTCAACTCTCATGTGCACACCTATACCAATAGACCACTGCTGATACACATATCGAAATCCCCCGCGGGACTTACATTCGATGCCCAGACAGTGGGAGTAAATCCACCCCGAATGCCCGGAAACATCCCTTCGGACTTACATCGAGGATAACCAGCCAAGGCTCATGCCCTGACTGCCATACATAAATAAAGGAGACACCCCATTGGGTACGTTCTATAGCTACGGGGATAACCGTTCAACGGCCAATATGGCTCACATCGAAGGCTACATAGTTCACATGCATACTTTGATCATACCACAACAATAACAATTAATTAATGCATAGAAATTTTCAAATAAAACCCACCTGGATAGCAAGAGGTATAGCCAAACACAAAGTTGAATGAATTACGGCACGAGTTCAGATCGAAGGACCAACAATTTATAAGGACCTATCACTGACTGCCCAGTACAAAACAACACATAAGACACATATACTTAGACGCAATCATATCGACCAAGTGACTCGTGGATTCCCTAACCGAGTTAAGACACTATGGAGTTTTTACCAGACTTGGATATGACTCAAATTCATCAAACAATCAACCTGATACTTTACCACATTATAAACAAAATCCAATCCTAACCTAAACAACCGATAACCGAACCTTTAGACTCCAGAATGAACTAAATTCAGAATCAGGAGTTAGGCTCAGACAATCAACCTGATACTTTACGACATTATAAAACATGCAAAAACACATAAAATCACAAAGTTTCAGCTCAAAACTCCAAGTGTACGATTTTTAATGATTTTTACAAGTTTCTGCCCAGAAACCGTTTTAAGCATTTGAACTCGAAAAACTCAACAAAAATTTCAGGGGCTTGGCACACACATTTCACATACTCAGGGACATAACATATCAAAATTTTTGATCAAACGGATAACGACTCGATTTATGGTGAATTTATTACGATTCAGCAGCATGCTAGGTTTAGAAAAATCATAACTCTCAAATTACAACTCGAAACGACTTCAAACCAAAACTAACAGATCAAGGACAACTCCAAGTACCTATAACTCCAGGACTTCCCCGAAACGAACCACATATATTCAGTTAGACAATTATTCAAAGTGACGGCAATCACTTTGATATCCAATTTGCGAATATAAAATAAAATTCATACAATTACTCAACTAAGGCATGAATTTAAATTCACGAAGCATGTTTAACACCCATTTCACATAACTAAGCACATCAAATAATATATAGGATTAAACGAGATGGGTCGAGCCTTGTACCGTTCTCGGGATTCGTTCGAAAACGGAATTTAGGGTTCGTTCGACAACACGCGGCGGCTCGTTTGTCGGAAAGCGAGGGGCTGACCGTCGTCAAGGCTCGCTGTTGGGGTGCTCGCGGGCCGCTGATCGCAATCGGAGGACGGCTCATGGCGGCTCGTTTGTCGCAGCGGTGGTCGGAACTCGCCGGGGTCGCGGTGGCGCACGGAGGAGCTTCTGCTGGCGGCGCCGAAGGATTTTGGAGCTTCACGGCGAGGGGAATGGTTCTCGACGGAAGGAGGTCACCGGAAAAGCTTTGCGAAGTTGCAGGGTGATGGAGGGTGATCGGAGATGATGGCAGTGGCGGGACTCGCGAGGGAGGATACCGCTGATGATGGTGCTCGTCGGTGGTCGTTCGCCCGTGAAAAGGAGTGGCGGCGACTGGTTCACGTGGCCTGACGAGATGCTCACTGGATTCGTAGCAAGGGTCGCCGGCGAAGGACAACAACTCGCAGCGAAGGTGATGGTGCGAAGATGCTGCGAGGATGAAGATGGGATGGAGACGATGGCGATGATGGGGATGGTGATGCTGCGGTGATGGCGAAGGCGAGAGAAGGTGCAGGTAATCGGAAGAAGAGGACGACAACGATGAGGGTGAAGGAGCAGATTTATACGAGGGAAAAATCTCCCTTCTCTGCTCAACGAGCGAACGAGAAAACTGAGAAGAGAAAAGGTTGCGAGATGATGCTCTCTGATCTGATTACGCGAGTTTAAGGGGGAAAAAAATAGGGCTGGAGACTTGAAGCCCAAGACACACACACGGGTCGGGCCATTCGGGTTCGGGGCTGGTTCGGGTTCGCAGGTTCAAAGAAACGATTCGGCCTAGCTCTCGGGCTCAGCTTTCGTTTTCCTCGGGCCCGATAGATTAAATCGTATCGACTCGTAAATTACATCGCACGTTAAATACATAACCGGATATAATATTTTTTTTTATAATACACACAAATTAAATTTTAAAATAATAATAATATTAGTAAAAATACAAATACATATTTTTAAATAAATTGACACTTAGACAATTAGGCAATTAATTAATATTTAGACAATTAAGCAATTTAACAAATAAATCATATTAGACCATTAATAATTTATAGCATTCAATAATAATAATAGTAATAAATAAATAAAATTAATAATAATAATAATAAATAATAATTCCCAAAAATTCCATAATCCAACGGGTTTACAATCGGTTCACGTGATTAAACCGAAATCGCCGAACGACGATTGTTATTCAATAGAACAATTGAGTATTCCAACCTTTTATTTAAGTCGACATCGCGACCAATAACATAAATATAACCGTATATAATATTCGATAAATAGAATATTCCTAGAAATTTTATAAATCGAACGGGGCGTTACAATCTATCATCCTTTAAACATGCCGTCCTCGGAAATGCGAACGAACACACATCAAACATGAAATGACAGACTCGAACGGGAAATTTCCAATCACGAGGTCCGGGCATCACCCTCCAGAACTGGATTTCGTTCCCATGAGTTCTATCGCCTAATACTCGAAAGGCATGTAGACACATACATGAACCAATCCGACTCGCCCTGTGCTCATACGTTTACCTTCTTGCTTGGGAGGGTGATCAGTCCTGCCCGAGCTCATGCGTACATCTTCTTGCAAGGGACCCAGTTCGGTTTAGCCTATCTCATGAGTATCAACAACTTGCAACAATACACAAGACCTCAACAGGTCGTTCGGTGTATTATCAGCGTACTCCGACTACCTCACCATCAAGGTGGACACGTGACGCCAAGTTTCAGTCTCGTATCTGAGTCACACTGACAACTTGCTCACGATTTCATCACGGCCGTGTGTCTCTATCAGAGACAACTACACGGTACCACATACATAAAGCACGACACCATTAAGCTCACACTCTCATGATATCGACTCCACGAGTCAAACGCAACCCTTATGCACAAACATAAGGCTTGACCCAAAGCAACACAACATTCCCAATTTGCAGACTCGAGAAACTCCCAAGTAAGGCATAGGGACTCATCGACTACACTCCTTAATAAGAAATCATCGATTAAGGATTTGTACACATCTTAGTGGCACTTGGGGCTCTCGGTTCAAGGTTCGGGGTAACATAAGTAGCTCAGCAAAAACTGGTCGATCAACAAAATGAATCGGAGGTTCGGGGTTAGTGTACTGTCACCCAAGAGGCGACACGCTCGCTGCAGCTGCATAAGCGGGGTGCTGGGACGCGTGCGTACCCACCTACTCGGAGACCAGATGTAAGGTCGAGGCTTGGCCGCACACGCTGGCCTGGGGAGTTTGTGCGTTCGGTGATGGTGGCTGCAGTTCGCATGCGAGTCAACGGTTGGCATTGGTCTAGGTTTTCACAAGAAGTTACAATTCAAGGCTACCAAAAAAAAAATTGGAAAACGAGTCGATTCACAGTTTTTATTGAAAAAAGCCATATATTTAAAAATACAAGATTTTAATCACAAAATTAGGTTGGTCAGGTTATCATACGAATTTAACTCTGAAATTTTTCCTGAAATTCCACCTCCCAGAATTAAGCAACACCACAAATTTTCAGCCCCAAACTCAACATGTGCTATTTTATAAAATTCGAGCAAGATTATGGCAAAAACAAGCATAAATTAGTAACCCGAATAGATGAATGAATTAACCTATGAAATTTTTATACCACAGACTACAGCATGAGAGTGGTAACATGTCAAAATTTCAGCCTTGGATAATAATTGTAAAAATTTTAAAAATTCCTACAAGTTTCAGCAGTTATCGTATTTCAGTTAAAACCAAACCAAATTGAACTTCAAAAATTTCCATCTTTTAACAAAATAAAAACACACATAAAACAAGTATTCTAGCAATGTTTCAGAATTTTTCAACAACTAACCGATTTATGATAAATAAAACAACTTTCTGCAGAATCTGAAAATAAATTATTTATCCTATCAAACTTAGTCCAAAAATTCTACAAATTTTACACAGAATACAATCATAATAGAGGCATAACATACTAACTTTTCAGCCAATTTCAATTAATACATAATTTATTATGCAATTAACATGAAACTGACTAAAAATCATTCTAATTATTTAAAATAGCTACAGGCCTTGGAAAATTACGAAATTTTAACACAAGTCAGATGTTCAACAGAAACAAGATCCTCAAAATTTCAAGGCAAACGGAGCAGTACATAATTTTAAATAATTCCAACACTAAAACTGCGGTTATTAAAGTTAAACAATTTATCTACGACTCGTTTTACGACGAATTCGTCCAAAGTCTTCACCATAAGACTAAGGACGATACAATGTTCCAATCCACAGCGACTATATCACGAATCGACGAGGTCTCGTTTGATTTCTCAAAATCGAAGAGATCGTCTACATGTATTCAACATATATTTAAACCAATTTCAAACTCATGAAAACAAAATTAACATAGGCATATTCACATCTGATGGTCATAATAACCATGGTTACAGACCTCCGAATATCCCACACTTGAGACTTCTTCGGTTGTCTGCTCCCTTCGTTTAAACCTTCTCCTTTCGAGATGGTTCGCGAATGGTCCTCTACGAAGACACCAAAATACATCGAGAGGACTGTTATACACAGAACTCAGCTCGATAACACCATATCAAATTTCTAAACAACAAAACCTCAAGTTAGAACTTAACTCTATATCGCTAGAGTTCAAATTCATACAACTAAGGTTCGCCACTCATCTAGAGTTCCAGAACGTATAAAAGAAGGAGGATATATTCCTAAGCCCCGGTTTCATTTCAGTAATCAATAACCAATGAATGCACAATAATCTTAAATCATTCAGGTACTCATACCTGAGCTGGCGCGGCACGACGAGAGCGAGTGGACATAATATGAGGTCAAACCATGTTATCACATAATTCGCGTAACCAGTCTACAGAAACGCAGACTAGCTCTGATACCAAACTATAACGCCCCACTTTTATTTGCCGAAATTTAGAATAAATTTTTCAAAATTTATTTCAAACCACTTGAGGCGCTACTCAATTTCCAAAAACAAATCCAACAATATCACATATGCAATTCCCAACGAGTTCAATATTCATAAATAATCAACGCCCAAACCGGGTTCAATAACCATAAATAGTCAATATCCAAACTGGGTTCATTAATCATAAATAGTCAATACCAAAACGGGTTCATAAATGACATCAACTCCCAAAACTGGGTTCATCAAATCCATAAATACTAGGGAGTACACTCCCTATCGATAATCCAGTACTACACACAAGTCAGAAATGCATAAATCATATAAAACAATTTAAGAAGCGGAAATAATCAATAACATGACCACCACTCACGTCCCTCTGTCGTGCCCGCAATTATTAACCTGCATCAATGAAGAGCAGGGGATGAGCACAATAGGAAAAACGAGGTGCTCACCACTATGCAATAATTAATATCCAACTTCATAAAATAAAGCAGGTATGGTCGCAGTATAAATACACATCAATTAATATCCCATCTCCTTCCCAGAGTCAACTCTCATGTGCACACCTATACCAATAGACCACTGCTGATACACGTATCGAAATCCCCCGCGGGACTTACATTCGATGCCCATACAGTGGGAGTAAATCCACCCCGAATGCCCGGAAACATCCTTTCGGACTTACATCGAGGATCACCAGCCAAGGCTCACGCCCTGACTGCCATACATAAATAAAGGAGACACCCCATCGGGTACGTTCTATAGCTATGGGGATAACCGTTCGACGGCCAATATAGCTCACATCGAAGGCTACATGGTTCACGTGCATACTTTGATCATACCACAACAATAACAATTAATTAATGCATAGAAATTTTCAAATAAAACCCACCTGGATAGCAAGAGGTATAGCCAAACACAAAGTTGAAGGAATTACGGCACGAGTTCAGCTCGAAGGACCAACAATTTATAAGGACCTATCACTGACTGCCCAGTACAAAACAACACATAAGGCACATATACTTAGACGAAATCATATCGACCAAGTGACTCGTGGATTCCCTAACCGAGTTAAGACACTATGTAGTTATTACCAGACCAGGACATGACTCAAATTCATCAAATAATACACATCAGTCATGCCAACATCAACAAAATCCAAGCCTAACCTAAACAACCGATAACCAAACCTTTAGACTCCAAAATGAACTAAATTCATAATCAGGAGTTAGGCTCAGACAATCAACCTGATACTTTAACACATTATAAAACATGAAAAAACACATAAACTCACCAAGTTTCAGCTCAAAACTCAAAGTGTACGATTATTAATGATTTTTACAAGTTTCTGCCCAGAAACCGTTTTAAGCATTTGAACTCAAAAAACTCAACAATAATTTCAAGGGCTTGGCACA